CCAAGAAAGTAAAATCTGTCACTGCCTCCATATCTTCCCCTTCTATTTGCCAGGAGGTGATGGGACCAGGGGCCATGAGTGTTTGACTAATGGCCAACAATATGTGAAAATGGTATCTTTATATGCAATGTTATGATAAGATTATGGACAGTATTATAGGCCAGACTTTGTCAAAACTAGTTTCAGACATTAAGTGTTGCAAGCCAGATGGGGCGTCAAGATTAAAATCCATTTTCCCACACACTCCAGAGTACCACGCAGGTATACCTGTTATGTGCCTCAGGGCAGTGTCAGTCCATGTTCCATGTAAGCAAATCCAGAACAAGTCCTAAACAGAAAGGCTTTGAAGCAAGAAATCTACATGCTGGTTATTAGTGATAAAGTCTTAAAATAAAAATATACTCAGATAAGATTCAACTTGGCTTAAACTAATTTCTTTCAACAATGGCTTTGGATCATATAAACAGTGCTATTAATAGAAGTTTACCTTCTATGGTCCCCCTCAGTCTGCTTCCTTCCATTCTTCTGTTGTTTAAATTCAAGGCAGTGGAGGCCTTGTTTCAGAAAACACATTGCTCACTCCTACATTTGTTATCTTTCCTTCCACTGAATGTCCTGCCAGAACTTAGAAGTTGGAAAAATCTGGAAACCTCTTTGTGACGTTGTGATTGATAGAATGTTTAAAAATATTCAACAAATTGAGTTATGCACACAGCAGAATGCAGTGGACTGGCCTCTTCAGAGAATGAGTCTGCCTGTATAAGCAGATGGGAATGCCAAAGTTAGGGTTGCCCTATTCTTGCCCAATGGTGGATGGTGTTTAGACCTTTTAAAAGCTCTAAGGTAGGAGTTTCCAAACTTTTCAGGATAAGGGCCGCATCATATATTTTACACATTTTTGAGGTCTGAAGGAGGGAAGGGGGACCCAAGCAATCCCCCACCCCCATTGTCTTTGAAAAGACAGCAGGGGTGGGGAATCGCTTAGATCAGGCTTCGCTCCTCGTCCTATCCCTGTCCGGGCATAGGAAGAGGAGCAAAGACTGACATAAGCAACCCTCACCCCCATTGTCTTTGAAAAGACAGCAGGGGTGGGGAATTGCTTATATCAGGCTTCACTCCTCGTCCTATCTCTGTCCGGGCATAGGAAGAGGAGCAAAGACTGACATAAGCGACCCCCCACCTCCATTGTCTTTGCAAAGACAGTAGGGGTGGGGGATTGCTTGGGTCCCTCTTCCCTCCTCTTCCTATGCCCGGGTCAGATAAAAAGGCAAGGTGGGCCAGATGTGGCCATAGTTTAGAGACCCCTGTTTCATGGGTGGCGTGTGTTTTGGGATTTTCTTATGTGTGTGCATGTGGGTCTTGTCTCTGGGTGTCTGTGTGAATTTCATTGTATGTGTATACTATGTATATACTTACAATTACAATAAATGTATTTGGTTTAAGGCAAGATTTTGGGCTTACAGATCTACTTGGGGTAGCTGCAATCTGATGTAGAAGGCACACAGTTCAGTTTAAATCACAATACTTTTAACTCATCTGTAGGAGTTTCCTTAAAGAAAAAAGATGCCTGATAATCTTACCGTGAACTTTCCTCAGCTCTGTATTTGGCAAATTCGCTTAGTTTTGTTCTCTGGTTGGCCATTAGAAGGCAAACAGAGGCTTTATTTGCAAATCTGATAGCTCAGATACAAAACGAAAGGAAAACATTCCTGCATGTGTAGAAGTAAAATACTGTAATGGAAAGTAACAGAGACTTATCCCTAGCATGGCTTGTCCCTAAGAATTAAAGAATTCTGAGTCCAGGAACTTCTTCTGAGTCCTGGAAGTGAATGGGGTTCACAGTTCTACATAAAAATGCTGCTATACGGTTACCCGTATAATTTAAGGCAGAATAGAATATAATGTAATAATCCTGCCACTTTTATTAAACAACCCGGAATAGAAATCCTTGCCACTCTATAGCAGGCAGCCATAAATTTTCTGGGTCTTGTGAAAGGTTCACCATCAACCCCTCCATTTGCCACCCCCTCCTCCCCCCCCCCCCCACTTTCCCCAGCGCCCCTAGCAGAATGTACTGAAGGGGAAAAAACCTAATAAGTTGCAACGCTGATGCTCCATTCCCTGCCTTCTTCCAAATGGCATGAATAAGGCACCCATAGGGTCTCTACCCAGTCTTCTGTCCTTGATCCCCTCATGTGTTTTTGATGTGCCCATATTACATAAAGGCAACATGCTTATTAACACCGTGCTGAGCCCATAAGACCTTCTGAGAAAGATGGGTGTGCTTGTTTTGAAGCCATCTCACACATAAAAACCAGAATTTCTTCTCCTCCAAACCAAACGTGTCTCTTTGCCTGGAGATCTCACCAACACCCTGAGGTCTGACAGCCTTGAGGCAGGATTCTTCCCATGGCCGCTTCCATTCCCCCTTCCATGTAATTTCACTATTCGTGTCACCACCAGTGGTGTGGGATCACAGGGCGACGGTACATCACCAGACACTGATTCTTTTGCACTCCTAATGTGAAAGTGGTCCCTAAGCGTTCTTCACAAAACAACAGCTACAAGATGAATATGGATGAATATAAAAACAGAGGAGCAGAACATGAAGCACAGTGACTAGATCTTACATTACACAAAGCAAAATCCCTCCAGGCCTACTTGGGAGTAAGAATCATTTATTTTTCATGTAAGCACTGTGCAGAACTGCAGCCTTGACATACAATTACTGTCTCCAAGCAAACAGCTGCAGCTTCTCCCACAATATGCACTCTGGTTTTGTATCCATCATAAGGCTTATTCTGAACAACAGATCTTAAGATGGAGTGTCATCTCATGCCTGCAATACCTGACTGTCTAGTCTTTTAAAATTTCCATTTCTGCAGCAACCTCATTCTTCACATGGAGTAGGGAGGGTGTTCTGATGACTAAAAGGGATCATCATAATTTACGGGATTTATGACACGGGGGATTTGATGAAGGGACTGCTCTCTTCTGTCAAGATCTAGAGGGGTGCTGGGTGTCACCGATAGAGGCCTTTACACAACCTAAGCTTATGACAAAAGCAAATCTTTTAAGATATCAAGATTTATTAAAAAAGGATGGTGAACTATGGTCTAAAGAGGAGCTAGAGTCACAGAATGTCTATATAGATTGGTGGCCTAGAGCACAGCTAGAATCTAGATATACAAAAGATAAAATAGAAGGTTTCTACTCAGAGCAAATGATTTTTGAAAAACTTTTACTGGGTTCAAAAGAACAAATTGTTAAGAAAATGTATAATTGTATGCTGGAAATAAAAATGCAAGATGAAACAGTTAAGGAATGTATGATTAAGTGGGCACAAAACATAGGGCATAATATTGATATTGATCAGTGGCTGAAAATATGGCAAAATAACATAAAGCTTACAAGATCGGTTAATTTTAAAGAGAATATGTATAAGATGTTTTATAGGTGGCACATGACCCCAGAAAAATAGTCAAATATGTATACAGATGTATCTTTATTTATTTATTTATTTATTTATTTATTGGACTTATATACCGCCCCATAGCGCTACAAGCACTCTCCGGGCGGTTTACAATTTTTTTTTAATTATACAGGCTACACATCAAATAAGTGTTGGAAATGTGAAACACAAGTGGGAAGTTATTATCATATGTGGTGGTCATGTGGAGTAGCGAAAAAATACTGGAAAAGAGTACATGCTATGTTACAATAAATATTGCTCTGTAAGGTAGCATTAACCCCAGAATTGTTTTTACTGAGTATGATACCCGATAATATAGATAAGTCAAAGGAATACATCGTTATATATATTGTTATGGCAGCTAGAATTATATATGCTAGAAATTGGAAAGGTCCGACGGTACCAAAACAAGAAGATCTCATTGAAACGATACGGGAAATAGCCGAAATGGATATCTTATCAGAAGTCATGAAAGATCATCCCCTGCAAAAGGCAACAGAAAGATGGGATCTATTTAACAAGTGGACTGAATCAACAGGCAGTGTCTGAATAACATATTTTGAAATGAGAACTCTATCTACAAGGCAGAAAAGAGTAAAGAGAATAACTTAAAATCTTGATATGGCAATAGGTATAGTAGATTGGATATCAGTATGTTATTATCTCCCCTCTTCCTCATTAATTCCAGTTCCCTTTTTCCCTTATGTTAAAAAATAAAAAAAAATTGGGGAAAAAAAGATCTAGAGGGGTGCTTTTTCCACAGCTGTGCACAGGGTAGCCATGTCACAGAGGAGCTGCATTGCTGTCACACAGTAAATGAGCAAATGTATTCCAAATACTCTGTGGATCTCCAGAAAACTCACATTGTAATGAAAACATTTGCCCATGAAGATTCGCGTTCAATAAAACTGCTAGTCTCCAAGATGCTAAGATATTGTGCATTGTTTGCTTCCCCTCAGGCACACTGGAGGAAAAAAAATCTCCTTACTTCAACTTTGATCGTTCTTGTTCTGCTTCTAGCATTACAAGCATAACAGCCCCAGCAAATGTACATATAAGGCAAAGGGCACCAAGTTTCCTTTAGCACAGCAGAAATATTAGAGGAAGCGCCAGTAGCATAGCAGAAATGTCTAAATGCATGCCAAATGGAGTGACAAATTTCTCTGTGGTTGTCTTTTCTGCCGAGAGGTTCACGGAGGCAGCCTTCTACCCCTGCCTTGTGCTGTGTGGCCGAAGGCCAAGCCTGTCTGCCGTTAAACATCTTCCACAGTAGAACTACAAACTCAATATTGCTTAATGGGGATTGATTAGCCTTGAACACGCACTTTAGCTTTCCTTTAATTCTCACAGGCAAGACTATTAAAAAGTGGTGAAAGGTGATAGCTGAGCAAGGGGCAGCTAACTAACACATTCGACCCTGTAACATTGGAATGGTTAGCAGAGCAAACGTCCCCCTTTGGAAAGAAATCACAACCGGGCTTTGTATTCTAGGAGAACAAGAAATTATTAGAGACATGTAACAAAATAGGAAAGATATCATGATTCTTAGCTCTAGCCAACTTCAGAGATGAGAACATTAGTCATTAATAAACTATTTTTATTACATTATGTTTATGGCGAAAGTGTGACACTTTTGACCATTACCTTAATTTTTAACTGGAGTTTAAATATACATAACATTACTACACTAGAAGCCTTATCAGAATGAAAGTGAAATATGTCATCCATGATTTTATTCATTCCATCCTTGCTTGCCTCAGATTGAGCTTTAGAAAGAAGGAAATAGCTTGATGAATTTTTAAAAATCCCATATCTCATCCATCCTACTAAAAATCCTTTTCTTACTTTCCCTTTATTATTCTGTTATAATCTCAACTCTAGTCTTAATTCTTACCCTTAATTTTGCTTATTCCCATTGCTTATCCCATCAAAAGTCAGAAGTGTATTGTTGACTTCCCTTGAAGCTTTTCTCCCTGTCATATTCCCTCCACATTTGTGTGAATAAAACAAAATCACATAAACATTTAATTTCCAGCTTCTCTACCAGCTCAATTCAACTTGGCTCCTTCCATCCACTCATTTAGAATGTTATCCTTCTCACTCTCTGGCCACAGATTCTATTCCATGCACGTGCCTTCTTAAACCATTAATTATAATTAATTAAAACCTGTGTGTTGCCTGCAGAACTACTACTTCTGTCACTGGGTGCCAGACACCACATGCTTTCCAGAATAAGGGTTTCTTCAAGAGCAAGAAACCTTGTACTGTTCTTCAAATATTTGAAGCTGGGTTCATCTGGTGTCAAAACCAGTCTTATTAAACTTAGGCTTCCCAGTCTATTAGAGACATTTCATTTCTATTGGAGTAACTCAGTGATTTAGTTATCTGACTGCAGAGCCAGAGGTAAGCCACTTCTAAGTACTCGTTACTTAGAAAACCCTGAAATTGACTTGATAACACATGATTATTATTATCATCATAGATCACTCATCTGTTTAAAATGGCTCCAATAAACCTTGCAGATCCCAGCTCCAGGTAGGTGTGTTCATGTTGTGTTTGAGAAAGAGGATTAAAATTCCTGTTGCCTGAGGGAAAAAGACTGAAAGAGCAGTGTGGGCAGAGAAAGGGAAAAAATAGAAAGTACACTGGCTACATTGCCCAGTTGGCTGTCTTTTACTTGATTCCTAGCCATGCCACCTGGTGCCTGTTTAGCTGGCCTGAACTCCAGGCTTCATTTAAAAGAGAGAAAGAGAGAGAGAGAGATCTATCATCACGACACAGTTACATCAGTTTCATAAACCTTTAATTATCACGGCTCCTTAGTACAAATCCTGGGATCTGTAATTTGATCAGATACTGAGAAGATACCAAGATACCCTGAGAAGAGAGCAATAGAGGATTAAAGCAGTTTAATTCTCTAATGTAAACAAGCACTCAGAGTTAATGTTGGTTCATCCCTCCAGAGCTCACCAGCTCAGAATTCTGAATACTTCCAGAAACTGCAGAGATTCCAGGTTGCCTTAGGATGAAGTCAAAACACTTAAAAGGGAAATAAAACTGGTATGACTCTGCAGTGGAACATGCAGATGTCTCTTAATATTTGTGCATATGACAAAGCCTGCAGTTCACTATTCCACTCAATTGTTCTGTAAGAAACAAACCTTGTGTTGTCTTTCAATGTATTTAGCCAGTGAGGAAAGTTTAAGTTGTAAGAATCTGCACATGTGTAAACCACAGGGGTTAGAGATGATGAGTGACCCACCAATCGCTGCTCTGCATGCAACCCTTCTGGAAATCCTCTTACCTAGAAATAAGACCCATTGAATGCAAGGGTATTTCTGAGTAGATTGGCATAGGATTGCAGTCTTAATTTACTTTTTTCAGAATGAAACAGTTTTACAGAAGTTGGTTCTCACATAAGCTTATGAAAATGGAAGCCAGTTTGTTTTTCAGAGAAAAAGTAGTCTGGAGGTCACTCATTCACTGGGCAGAAGCAACTTGATGCCGCTAACAACAATAAATACATTAAACATTCTTGATAAAGAAGATTTAAAAATACATTGCAAATCTTTACGTAGTATGTTGAACTCCATGGGTGTGTTTCATTGTGAGTTTCCTTTCAATATCTAAATGAACAGAGGAAAATGAAATAGTGGCTCAAATAGGTCAGGCTAGATACATTACTGATCACCAAGAGCCTGTAATCAAGGATAGCCCCAACAAAAACAGCTGGTGACCAGACACTCATTCTAATAAATGCATCACTTCAGCATTAAATATTAAAAAAGAAGCCGGAGGAATATTCTCCCTTCATTTCGATCTCTCAGTACATCCAGAAAAAGCTGCAAAAATGATTTATTTTTATATTAATTCTCAAGGATTATGCTACAATGAAAAAGATTACCCACAACATAGATGCACTGTGGATTGTACCCTCCCAACAAGCTGCTACCCTAAACTGGTGCCATTCATCCATTCCTGGTTTGCACTATTCCCAGATGTCCATGAAGGATGAGACAATGGAGAGAAATTACTAGTACCTCAGGAGATTATGATTCACAAAAGCTTTTGTAAAGCATGCAGCGTAAACTCCCCCTTCTCTGTCAGAAAAAGAATCCTTTGTTGGTTCCCTAGTATTATTTTTCACAGTGTCTGGTCCAAAACTTGGACCTGCAAGTGCTGCAGATATGCTAGGATGGGAAAAAAAGCCATATATGCTTTCATCAAGCTGGGATGTGAGGGTGTGCTTCTGTGTGTCCCTTTAAAGTGCCTTTAGAGTTCTCCTAAAACGATATCACATCATTTGTAGGCCATTGCTTCCAACCTTGGGATGTACAGCTAAATTTTACACATGCATACTTTTGTATTCTAATCTGCCCATAGGTCACTGCATAACATGAGAACTGGGCCCCTGTTCTTCACCCTGATAATGAACCAAGTACACAAATGTAATGACAATTTGGAAGGTAAGTATAATGAGTTTAAGACAGACATTGCGTTTTCCTTAGCCATAGTTTATCCTTGGCTGCATTGTGGCGGCATCTCTCTGTGAGATTCTTAAAGGGGTATGAGTCACGCACAATTTGTTTCCTTCTTCACATAATTTCAACCTTTTGGGGCTCTTCTCCTGCTATGAGGTAAAATAGAGGGTTAGAAGTATTAGACTTCGGCATACACTTTACCAAGACTGGCATTGCAATTCTCTCCCAAACCTGGTCTATCATAACCTGAATTGTAACCTATGAAGCAGTGACTTCATAGTGCACAAAGAAGCTGAGACTCCAGTTATAATAAACTAAAAGAATTATACTTAATCATAACAGTAAAACAGAATGTGAAAGAGATGTGGAATAACACAATAATGAAACTAATACAATGAAGAAGAGATTATTGTAGTTGTTTAAATTTCTGTACTGCCCAATTAGTGACTAACACTACTCCAAATGGTGTACTGTGCCCATTTGAGCATGAATTAAAAAACAAATAACTAAATTCATTTAAATACTCACTAATTCATCAATTTGTATTTGTATGAATCAATGTCCCCAATGAATATGAATCAACAAATTTGTAGTGAATTTTTATTTGTTTAGCTATAAAATACCCCCCAAGGCACAGAGACACACCAACATTGCAGATATCCTTCCTCTGACCCTGCTCTGCAATCCCATGAGGATTGGTGAAGACTGAGTTTCAGAGATGGCCCCTACAGGAAAACTACCCCCAGGCACCCGCTTACCGGTCTTCGCAAAGCGAATTTTGCCCTATCGAAAAAACGTTAAGCGATCGCATTAGTGATCCGAAAAAACAGATCGCTATGCGATTTCGTCGTTATGCGGTGCGCTCGTTAAGCGAGGCACCACTGTAGTTGTTTAAATTTCTGTACTGCCCAGTTAGTGACTAACACTACTCCAAATGGTGTACTGTGCCCGTTTGAGCATGAATTAAAAAACAAATCACTAAATTCATTCAAATACACACTAATTCATCAATTTGTATTTGTATGAATCAATGTCCCCAATGAATATGAATCAACAAATTTGTAGTGAATTTTTATTTGTTTAGCTATAAAATACCCCCCAAGGCACAGAGACACACCAACATTGCAGATATCCTTCCTCTGACCCTGCTCTGCAATCCCATGAGGATTGGTGAAGACTGAGTTTCAGAGATGGCCCCTAAAGG